GGGGGGGGGAGACATTGTGGTAGGCTGGCTGAGTGCACCCCTGACTGGACTCCTTGGTAAGGAAAGAGATCTAATGGACACCATCTTAACCAGAGATAAACTGAAATAGAGCTCGAGGATGGATCAGTCTATAAGGTGCTCATTGTGTAAGCAAGAGGCCTTGAGTTCAGCCCTCAGAACCCATGTAAGAAAGCCATTCATGGTAGTGCATGCTTCGAGTTCCAGCATCAGAAAGACCCAGGGAGACTACTAGAACTTGCTAGCCTAATTAGGTGACTTCTATACTAATGAGAGACCCTGTCCCAAAACAAGGTCATAGCACCTGAGGAATAACACCTCAACTCTCCAGCTACTGCATGAACATGCATACACACATGTGTGTGTGTACTAGCACACACATGAATGTGTGTATATATATGTATATGTACAAATATATATGTATGTATATATACATATATTCATATATACATACATATATACATATATACATACATATATATATATATAAAATCACCTTTGATGGGACAACCCAATGGCCAGTGCCTCCAGTGCCTCCAGTATGAAGCCTCCAGGCCATATCAATGTCACATTGCCAAAATGAGAGTGTGTACAAGACAATCAAACTGGAAAAATCCACTCTGGGGGGAATTTGGTAAAACTGACTGGTGTCTTACATATATCCATGCCAGTTAAGTGGGGGGGGGGCAGGGAGGAAGAGTCAGGACAGAGAGAGAGTGTGTTCTTCAACTGTACTCTGCATCAAATGAAAACCGAATGGCCATGAAGGACACTGAGCTAGGGAAGGGGATGCTAGATGAAGCGAACGGAAAAAAAATCTAGGTATGAACTATATTAAAAGTGGCAGAACTGTATCCATGTTTTGTCTCCACTGTGCCACAGTTCTGTAGAAGAGTTTGTCCTGAAGAAATATTACCTAACAGTGAAGCTATGTAACGTCCACAACCAATCCTTAAGCGGCGTAACAAAAACAGTGCGCATGAGTATGTTTGTATGTGGAGAGAGAAGGGACCAGATGTGAGTGATGGGTGAGTGGTAAGATGTGTGCAGGTGTTCATAGCACGATACCTACCACTTTCCTAAGACTTGACAGTTTTCAAAATTGAAAGCATAAATATCAGAAAAAGCACCTACTGTGGCCAGGCCCCTACTGGGCATCGGTTGGGGTGTTACAGAAACAAGTGACTTCTATCTGCCCATCACCCTTTCCTATTTCTGCTAATGACTTTTGTCCTCCTTTACTACCTTGTGGCTGGAGTGTGGGGAGGGTTACCTATGATGCAGGGTAGCATGTTACTGCCCATTGTAATGGGCTGGAGATGATCTGAGTTTGCCCAGTCTGGACCTTGTTTTCGATTTTCTAAGTAAAGCTTGCAGGGAAGTCCTACTCACTGTGTGTGGGGGAATGAAGCCTGAACCCAGAGGTAAGGATAGCAAAATCGTCTATAGGGAGGAGGGCCAGGAGATGTCAAACTCTGGGTTCAAAGACCCAAGGTCCCTGCAATTAACAACACTGTGGAGGGTTTTACCTCGGTCCTATGGTCTGTCCATAGTATCCTATATTAAGTGTTCAGAAGGCAAGGTATCACGGAATGTAATAGTCACAAAGGACAGAGGAGAGAGGCATGTGGGAGGAAGGAGGAAGAGACACACACATAGAGAGAGACAGACACAGAGAGAGATGGAGAAATAGAGAGAGGGAGGGAGGGAGAGGGAGAGACAGACACACACACAGAGAGACAGAAACAGAGACGCAGAGAGATACATAGACAAAATCAAGCTTTCTGAAAATCACTTGGATGGGGCCCCAAGGAGGGCTGGGAGAGTCTGGACAAAGAGAAAAAGAACATGCAGGAAGTGTCTGGAGACCCATAAACTGGCATTGCTGGCAGCGTCTGCCCTAGACGGAACCAGGGAGCCATCACGAGGCCAGGAGATGCCACTGGAAGCCAACCACGAGGAGTGCTAAGGTTACACGGAGGGGCGTAGCCCTAACTCACAGTCACAGCTAGTTTTTGATGGTTTTTGATGAGCCGGCCATCCGACCAGCTTCACATTCGAGCATCTCATTGCCACCATACCATGAAAGCGGGCCTTCCTGCAGCGACAAAGCGAAGGGATGAGCTTCCCAAGTGGAAGCTCATTTATTTCCCCTGGATGACTTCCACCCAATGCAGCTATAAAGTGGGATATTTGCGTTCTCCCCACTGCTTTGTTTTCTAGAATTTGCAGAGCACAGTTAGCAGAAAGATTGCTAAGGATACACATTAAGGAAACAATTGCAGCGATTCTTTCTCCTCGAGAGGCAGGGTGGCGGATGAAAAAGAATTTCAGCTCTGGAGTCACACTGCTAATCTTAAAAAGTAAAGTGTGTGTGTGTGTGTGTGTGTGTGTGTGTGTGTGTGTGTGTGTGTGTGTGTGCTGCGCATGCCACGGCGCATCGGAAGTCAGAGGACAACTTTCCGGAGTTGGTTTTCCTTCTACCTTGTTTTGAGGCGGGGTCTCTCTTACTGTTTTCTACCACTTCACTGCATACTCCAGGCAAGTGGGCCCCTCAGCTCTTGTCTTTACCTCCCACCTCCCTGCAGGAGAGCTGCTGCTTAGAGACATGTACCGTTTCATCTGGCTTATGAGGTGGCCAGGCTTGCAAGTGCTTTTACCCACTGAGCCGTCCCCCAAGCTCAGTAGCTTATTGTTGAAGCTCAGCTTACACAGCTGACCTTGGGTGTGTCCTTCAACCCTTCTAAGCTCCAGCCTGTGCTTCTGTGAAATCCATAGGCTTGTTGGCAGAGTCCAGTGGCATTCCCTCAGAGCACTCATCACCACGCTGACTCTATGTGAGTCATTGACCATGATCATCGCCATCATAAATGTCACTGATGATTTTTGGGTGTGTGTGTGTTTTGTTTTTGAGACAGAGTTTCATCTCATCCTTTACATCCTTTATCCCAGGCTTGCCTGTAACTTGCTAGGTGGGTCAGGTTGGTCCTGGACTCAATACTCTCCTGCCCTTAGGCTCTGAAGGGCTGGGTTTATTGACCTGTACAATTGTGCCTGGCTGCCATCTGCAGTAGTTGGATCCTGACTGCTCATTGGATGCTGCCGGGGTCAAGAACCATTTCCAAAGGTAGCCCACTCCATCACTGAGCAAAGCTGGTCACTGACGGTGCTGTAGTGTTGAAGGAATAGTTCAGTGGTAAAATGCTCACTGTACATTTTACCTGAGGCCTGACTTTGACCCTCAGAATTCATTTCTTTTTTTCCTCTGAATCTGGCCTGGTGGCATGTACATGTAATTCTAGTATTGGGAAAGCAGGGACAGGCAGATCTGCAGGGCTCACTTGCCTCCCAAGCTCGCTCAATCGGTGAGGTTCCAGATCTGTGAGACACCTATCTCAAAAATCACGGTGGATGAACAACATCTTCTAGCCTTCAGACACACATGAATACATGTGCACATCTGCTCTTCTGCACGCAAGAGTACATACACAAGTGCACACACACACGCACATATGTGCACACACATGCACACATACGTGCACACACACATGCACACACGTGCGCGCACGCACGCGCACACACACACACACACACACACACACACACGCACACGCACGATCCTTGATCCGAACTGGGCTCTGCTACTGAGTGGCATCCACCAGTGTCCTGGCAAGACAGGGTACCACAAAGGGGCTCTGATCCAGCCAGGGAGCAAAGCCTCTTCCTCCAGGCTGCTCCAGCTCCCTGGTCAAGGGCAAGCAGGAGGTGGCTTCTAAACCAGCACTCACAATATGCCCCTGGAAAGCTCTCGGTACCCCATTAAGTTCCCACCAAAGAGGATGTAGGGCCTCTTCACACATTCTCAGTGATGTGCGATGTTCTCAGCGATGCCATGTGGTAGTTAGAAATGGCTCCAGGTCCCCAAATAAAAGCCATCATGTTGCTTAGAGAGTCCGTCTGGCCTCCTTGTAGGAGATTCATGCCTAGAACTGCTGGCAATGGAAGATGCTTCCTGACCCAGTGTTCTTCACCCAACCCCCACAGAGGGGATGATGTGGCCTCTTCTCCTCCCTTGTTGGCTAGTATGGCCGGCCTACAACAGCTGAGTCAGCCTAAGGTCACAGACCGAGAAAGGAGGTCACCCCAAACTCTGTCCTCCTTGCTTCCTAATGGAAAGGATGGCTACGTGGAGAGGATGGGCAGATGCTCCAGTGGCAGCCCCCCTTCTCATTTGCATTCTCATCCCTGGTGACAGATTTGTATCAGCATCCCCAGGGCAGGACAATCTTGTTTCCCCAACAAAACCGATTATGCACATCAGGCTTGGGGATTAATCACAGGCAAGGGGCTGGGAGCCAATAAGAAAAGGCAGAGATGGGAAGATAAGAGTTGGGGGGGGGGGAGAAGCACACTGTCCCTGCTCCACAGGGACAGGAAGTGAGCAGAGGCCAGGCTCCACTAGGGGAGGGCCCCTCAGACATGTTACTGGTGGCAAAAATCAGCACGACCAATCCATGGGTGCCAACCCCATGTTCTCGTAGTCCCCATTCAGCCAGAGTGAGGAATGGGAGGAGCCATGAAGTCCAGGAATGTGCATCATCCCCCAAAGACAAGTCTCCTGTGCTCCTGGACCCCCCCTTACTGCACGTCCTATTCCATTGGGTCCAGTCTCCTTCAACAGAACTTTCTAGAGATGGTGGGGTTCCTTCCGGGGTAGGTAAGGGAGGCACTGGTTACATCCTCAACCTATCTCCGCCTACGTCTAGTGTCCTATTGGTAGTCCCAGGCCCACAGAAACACTCAGCCTTCCAGTGTAGGCATCACCAGGGAAGGATGCCAACTCCAGAACAGGGCAGTCCCAGCCTCTCCGGGATAGTACACGGGTGAGCGCCTGTGACTCGTGTATGCACCCCAGTCTTCCACCCTCCTTTTTCTGAATAGGGAGGCAGCTAGCTCCAGGCAGAATGGAGGGAACAACTTGCCTGTACTCCAAGGAGAACCTGGTAAGTTCCCGGTTGTTGTGCAGCCACTTGAACTCCAGCGGCCAGCTGCCCTCGGCCATGCACGTGAGCACCAGGCGGTTTCCCTCCAGGTGTACTTGCGTGCGCACTGGCTCTGTCTTGAAGTATGGCGGCACGTCATCTGTGGGAAACAGGGTACACAGCCACCAGTTAGCACTTGCTCAGCCCCGGACACCCAAGGCAAGCAAACAGAGCAGGAGCAGCCGGGTAGCCTCCCCAAGGTCATACGCACGCACGCACGCACGCACGCACGCACGCACGCACGCACGCACGCACGCACGTGCACGCGGAGAGGGACCTGAACTACAGAGCAAAGCCTTGCAGGCTCACTCTCCTCTCTAGCCAGCCTCTGCCTCTGCTCTACCCTCCCCAACATCCATCACTTCTGGGTGCCCCCCCCCCCGCGGGAGGTCTTGTCCAGTTCTCATCCTTTGCCTCTGGATTTTAAACCTCCAGGGAAGAACAAAAAAGGGTGCCCATTGGGCTTCCGCCAGAGGGAACGTAAGCTACTACGCTAGGGGAACACAGAGCTGCGGTGCTGGGGAGATGGCTCTGCTGTTGTGCAGGTAGGAGGACCTCGGTTGCAATCTCCAGGACTCACAGTGAAACTCCAGGCTCTTCCATGCACACCTGTAACCCAGCACGGTTGCAGGGTAGAGGCTGAAGGATCCCCGGGGCTTGCTGGATGCCAGCCTAGCTCCAGGTTAATGAAAAGAGAGATCCTGTCTGAAGAGGACACTCGATGTCCTCCTCTAGCCTCCTCGTTCATGTATGGGTGAGTGAACCTGCACACATGCATGTGCAGACACAACACACCATGCATACACAAAGGAAAAACACGCAAGTGAGGTGTCATAAGGTCCAAGTGATAGAGGGGTCTCTCTCCGCCTGATGCTGGAAAGCACCTCAAGTTAGGGTCTATTTAATGAGCCGTTCTGCCACCAGACTGCTAGCCTTCAGCCAGCCATCTAGCCTCAGCATCCCCATTGTGGCTGCCTGGGCTGTGGATGTGGGCCCCGTGGGCCCTAAGAACTGCTATCCTGCCCTGCATGGTCTCTGCACCTGTCTGGCCCCCGCTCAGCCACAAGGGGGATGAAAGTTCCAAGCTCCTTCAAAAGGAGGATGTGCTCCATTCCCCGGACTCAGACTGCTGAGGCAAATGGCTCAGGATACAGGGAAGCCTTCTCCCCACGGGGAAAAGGACAGAAGTGGGAGGTGGGATTAGACCAGGGTCTAGGGAGGAGGGGGAGGGAAGGAGCCTGCCTTTGCATCACCAGCCTTTGGGGTGGGGCAGGGTTGTGGGCAGATGTCAACATCTGGTAAGAATATATCAATATAGATCCTAGTCCTCACAGGTTCTATTATTCTAGAAGGTTCCACATATGCTCATTTGATCGTCATAGTGACCTGACCCCACGACTCCAGGGAATATGATGTATGTCTTAGAAAGGGCACAGTGAGGCCTGGTCTTCAGAACATGTTGAAGATCACAAGCCAGAGAGGAAGAATTAAAACCACAGGACCAGCCACCTCTTTGGGGGAAGCTGAGCTACCTCTATGAAGGAGGAAGCTGGGCCAGGGCTTAGAGGGGTGGATGAGCACAAGGTGAGAGCCAGACTCAGAGTGTGTGCCCTCCTCCAGGTGTCAACAGCCTAACAGTCTGAGGACTTCCTCAGGAAGTCGCTTGCCACGGAGAGCAAGTGACTCCCTACAGCTCATCATCATCAACAGCAGCAGCAGTCCAAGGGCACCCCTTGACTTCATATGGGCTAGCGAGTGAGGCCAGCCTGGGCTACATGAGCCCTATCTCAAAACCAGATCAGGCTTCTATCCAATCACCCTGAGGTGCATGTGCCTCTGGGGTTCTGGGCCATGGCCTGCTGGGTAAAGAGAGGCCAGTGGGTACCTGTGTGCCAGGGAGAGTGACTTGCCACCCCAGGAGGCAGCCACTGCTGCTCTCAGCTTAACAAATGGGCACATTCTCACTTCAAAGGCGCATTCATATTCCCGGCAGCTTTCAAGAGCCCTTTGAATCGCGTTTTTAAAAACCCTCTGTTTGCGGCTGTCATTGCTCGTTTGTTTTAAAACAATAACATTCCCAACCCCACATGATTAAATCCCTTCCTTGGATGTGGGCTGACTCAGAGCCAGCACTGTGAGAGGAGGAGGGGGTGGGTGGGTGTGTTTGAACACATGCAAGTGCGCAGCGCACGCACGCACGCATGCTCTGCACCCAGACACCTAGCCTCTGTGGGCCTGCTCACGGGCCACTTGCTCCAGGACTGAATTTACCAGCTCACTGCCCAGGTTCCAGGGATGGACAACCTGGGCAAATGCCTTGTGCTTGGATGGTTTGATTCCAGTGGCTGCTGGAGATAATGGCTGTGGGGGAAGAAAGGGGAGGGAGACCATGCTTGAGCACCTGCTGGGTACCAGGCCCTGTCTTGGTCCTCCCCATCTCTCCTCCCCTGTTATCCTCCTGAGGTGACAGGGACAGAGGTGTTTCACCCAGGCCACTGTTCTGGGTCACTCTTGCTCTACTGCTCTTTGCCCTCTGGATACAGGGATCCTGGGAAGGAGGCTCCATCCAAAAGAAACACTGGGACGTGCACCAGTGGGCACCATGCCCACCCCAAGTGGCTCCTGAAAGCAGGAGCTGGGGTGTGGTCCACAAGAGGATGGATGGTGTTAGGGTGTGACAAGCGTGTGCATAAGCATGTGTGTGTACATATACTAGTGTGCATATGCACATGTGTGTTCATATACCAGTGTGCATATGTCCACATGTGCCTATGAGTGTCTGGGCACATCTGTCCCCCTCCTGCATGAACAACTGTCTCCTGTTTGCTTATGAATTCACAGGTACATAGAGACTGAAGGCTTTGGAAGTCAGTTACCCTCTGCACCTTAGTTCCCTCAACTGTAAGCTGGGGACAAGTTTACTGTGTACTAAATGAGCACAGGGAACTAGTTAAATAAAGTGATGAGCACAGACCAGAAGCCAGTGCATGCTTAAGAAGGGACAGCAACTTCTCCGGTAGGCCACTTATGTGGATGGGCAGGCGCATTGTGATGAAGAGAAACTAGTCCTCTGTTAGCAGAGAATGGCAGGTCTCCTCCGCATTTGCTTTCAGATAAGGCAGTGCTCAACTTGCGGAACTGCATGGACACCACAGACTTATGAGCCTCCTGCAGTGAAAGGGGTAACTGCTCAGAGAATTCTGGGTAAATAAGACCAATGTTAAGAACACGCCATTCTCCCAAGCCTTTCCTCATTTGACCCCCCCCCAATTTTTATTAAAATATTTAAACTGATGATGACAACGATGACAATGGTAGTATGGGTGGGCAGGTGTTCATGTGTCATAGTGCCATGCCGTGGAGGTAAAATGAGCACTTGTGGAGATGGGTCCTCCTTCCTCCACCATGGGCTAGGGATCAAACTCGTGGTCCATCAGGCTCACAAAGCAAGAGCTGTCACCCACTGATCCATCGTGCTCCCCTTCCATTCCATTTTTACAAAGTGATTCTAAAAGTCATAGAAAAACAATCACAAAAAATAGATTAAAAGCTGGGCCTAGAGATACGGCTCAACTTGTGTGTAGATTAAGAGCACGGGCTGTGCTTGCTTGCAGAGGATGCACATTTGGATTTTGTCATTCAGGCAGCCCATAACTGTCTGTAACTCCAGCTCCAGGGGGACCTGATGCCTCCAGACCCTAGGGTACCTGCACTCACCTGCACACACACACATACACAGACACATAGTTTTTTAAAAAAACTTTTTTTTTAAATAAACTAAAAACGAAACAAAACAAACCAACATCAAAACCAAAGCAAAACAAAATGCAAACCCCAAAGCAAACAAACCTTTTGAAAAAGTCTAGAAAGACTAGTCCAGGTATTGAATTGCAGGACAAAGCAGCAATCACTTAAACAGCGTGATCTTTATGACTGTCTTGATGAAGGGATGGTCTTGGAGCCTAGAAATAAACCCAAACTCATAGTAGGACTTTCAATGTATGATGAACGCTGAGTTGCAAATCAAGGTGAGGGTGAGGGGTGGAGAGGACCAATTACTCAGCACAGGGCTTTGGAACAACCAGGGAGCCATGTGGGAATAAAACATAAAATTGAATATCTTTCTCACACTTTACCTCAAAATAAATGCTGGAGGGATTGATGTTTTAAACATGAAAATGAAATTCTAAAAGGACTGGGGGTGGGGTGAGGGTGAAATCACAAGAGTTTAAAGATACACAATGCTGGTGGAGTTGAGTTCCTGCCAAGCACTTTCTAAGTACCACGAGAGCTCCAGACGGTCAGGAGACAGACGATGCCTTCAACTCCACAAAAAATCTTCAGAGGAAAGAGAAAACCCACACATCAAAAGCAGCGACACATGACAGACTGGGGGAAGATATTCTCGACACTTATCACAGACAAAGATCTAAGTTGCCTGAAGAAAAAAATGTTCTCAGCCGGGGACAGTATTACAAGGCCTTGAATCCTAGCGTTCGGGAAGCAGAGGCAGGTGGATCTCTATGAGTTTGAGGCCAGCCTGGTCTACAGAGTGAGTTCAATCCAGCCACGGGTATATAGTGAGATCCTGCCTTAAGAAACGTTTACATAAATCCATTAAACAGCCAGTAAACGGTTCAGAGGGAAGAATGACAGGATGGGGATGCTTGACTTCCTCAGGAAGCAGGTAAACTAAGTCACAACAGGATATTCCACCCTACCCGCCACTCCTCGCCAAGGTTTGAGAAGATGAAGGCATGGGTGTGCATGGAACAGATGCCCAGAAGGGCACACCCCTCATCAGGCTGGGACCTGGTATGCTATCTATGGAGCGCAACTTGACAATGCTATTACAGCCCCCCCCCCCCCCCGTTCCTCCAGCTCTCCAAAGGCAATTCCCTCTGCCTCCACTTACGTGGGGTGGCAGCATCTCAGAGCTGTGACCCTGAAAGTTTTGCCCACACCTGCATGCCGATGCAGAGGGTAGAAGGGCTTTTTCTCCAGCGTGAGACTTCTCCATGAGCAGTGACCCCAGAGCAACCATTTGAGAGCCACCATTGTTATCATTTACAGGATCTGCTGTCGCGAGTACAGAAATTG